TCAGGTTCCTTTCCACCCAACTCTCCAGCACCCTCCTCTGCAAGGCAGGTAGAGGTCTACAGAGACAGCACAGTTTATGGCCCCAGCTTTACATCATGCTTAGCAGGAGTTAAAGCTGAAATACCAACAACTTCACCCATGGGAATTTCTCAGGCCACTGCTACTTGTCTTTGTAAGAAGCACAGTTTACTTTTGTTTTTGATGAAAGGAGACCTTGGATGATCAGAGCAGCCTCGATCAGTATCCGAAACAGCACAGTGACACAATACCTGATTTTCAGAGGGCCCGGATTTTTCCTCAGTGAATGCAGAAGTCTCTCTGCAGCTTGGACTGTCACGTTGTTATTTGAGGATCTAGAACCAAAGGTCATTGTAATGAATGGCTCACAAACAACCCCCCCAGATGAGTCTAAGCAGCCAGTAACTCACGTGTACTCTGTCAGACCCGTGCACTTTTCCAGGAGCAGGCACAACTTTTCCAAGTGCTCTGGCTGAAAGCTGCACTCTGCGAGTCTGAAAGGACGCAAGAGAGAACAGTCTTGGCTCCTTAGGTGAAATCTCAGACATCACAACCTTTCCCCACAGCGAAAGAAGGATGGCACCAAAACCTTAAATGCCTTGCAGACCTTCCAAAAAAGATTGTGGCAACACTTCAAAAGCATCTGTTGAGATGTTCTGATACAACATAAGTGTGTGGTAACGGTGCAGCTTTTTGTAGCTCCCTGTCCTGGGACAGGGACTGTAGGGACACCTACATTCCTAGGGAGGAAAATTTAGTGGGGAAGCAGTGAGAGAAAGGGATGTGGGATTCTCTGTGACATGAGAAAGCTCTTCTCAGAAAGTGAATCAAAGGAAACTCACAATCTATTAGTGTAAAATATCACCATGCCAGGAGCTAGGGAGCACAAGAGGTTTTCTCTGCCTTGTTCCTAGAAAAAGGATATCACCTTTGTCAAAGAAATAATTAAAAAAAAATCTGTACTGTTACCTCAAAATCTTTCCTGGATCATCTCTGCTTGTCAACTTGATGATTAAAGTTGCTTTAGAGCACAAACTGCACAGAAGAAGACACGTGAGTGTTAAGATTTGGAAGGAAAATGACTATTTTTCCCAGTGGTCAGAATGTAACAATACATCAAACAGCACAAAGCAACACAGCAGTGACAGAGGCCCAGCTCACCTCTCCCTACCACAAACCAACCCAGGGAAATGCTTCAATAAGATTTCACTCATACTAAATTGGCATAAAGCAGCACTGACGGTTGGAGAAGCAATCCTGATCCCTCCTGCTTTTCTCTGCCTTCTCCTGTCCCCGCACTTTCTGCTCAGGGGAGAGTTAAAATAGGAGACTGCTCTGCTTTTCTGACCACATGTTTAGAGAGCAAATGCTAACTCCTGCCCTGAAGAGGTTTATTTACGGATATATACATGACAACAATTACTACAGCTGAATACCTGTTTCTTCATACACAAAAATTACTTGGCCCTGGGGAATAACAGTCCTGCCTGCTTCCTCCTTGGCAGCGGTGTTCAGCCAGTAGAACCAGAAAGAAAGAAAAGCTTTGGATGCACTTATACATAAAGGTAATTGAAAATGTGGCCCTCGTTGTTATTACCTGAAGATCACAAATTTTCAAGAATTAAGAGGAAAACATGCAGAGATGAATCAGAAATTAGTGAGGAGAAACACACCTGACTTGAACTTCAGTGGTATTTCCAGAAGTGGCCAAGGCATTTATGAGATGAAGAACTCCATTCTGAGAAATCCTATTATGGCTGAGACTGCAGAGAAGAGAAGGAAGGTTTTCTCAGGTGTTGAGAGTCAGGGTTGTCCGCAGGCTCCTCAGCCACAGAGGAGGAATTCAAGGTGGCACTGATGGCAGAGCAGTTTGTGGGGTGCCAGGCCCCTTTGGCCATGCTAAATGCACCAAACCCCTCAAGACAGAGCACTGATGACTTGGGGTGACAGAGCCAAATTCCAGCTTGCTGCTTGTACTACAGAGGCAGCCATGCAGCAGTTGCTTCCCCACCAGAAATGGAACAGGAGAGGCTGGTGTAGGACACTGCTAAGGTCACAGCACCTATGGGCCTTAAGTTATTTAAAGAGGACAACGTACACAGTAGAGTGATGAACTGAAAACTCAGGGGACTGGGTCAATTTCTGTCACATTACCCCAGTCTGGGCCTTGTTATCTCCTGCTGCTGCTAACAGAAAGACTTTTAGTTACTTCAGCAGGTTTTGGATCAGACCCTGAGTCACCACGGCCTGGAAGTCTTGAGTTGTGCTCATGGTTCACTCAGACTTCACCTCCTAAGGCAGGAGAGGGCAAGAAGTGTGACAACCAGCTTCAGGAGGGATCGTGTGAATGCCTTTCTGCTAGGGCACCTCAGATTCACAGTATGTTTTCTTACTTGAGGGAACAGGTACCAGGCACTTGATGCAAGTGATCCAAGAGGCTCCGTAGGCCTTCATCTCCCAGCTGATTCCTGGAGAGACTGAAAGGCAGAAGAAAAGAAAAAGGTGGCCAACCAAAACTCAGCATTTTAAGAAGCAATGCTCCCCTGAGAAGTTTTGAAGGAAAAAGCCTAACTTCCTGGACTCACATCCCAGCCCAGCCATTAAAGGTCTGTCTAAAACAAACTGCTGCCCTACAAAACTACCTCTTGCACAAGCTCCAGAGCAAGCTCAGATGAAGAGCTCTGAACGTAAGCTCATGAAGTAACAAGTGCCTCAAAAGAGCCACAGAGTGAAAATCCCAAGGAAGTTGTCCCACCAGCTCAAGCCTTCTTAAAATATATACATAAAGGACTTGTATGATTACTAATCAATTTTGTTTCTAAATAGTCTGAACGAGCACACATGTCCATGCAGACAGGCTGGGAAACCCCAGGCAACGCTGACACAAACCAACCCAGCTCTCCCTCGCTGTTCAAGGTCACGGTAACAACCCAAAACCCACTCACTCTACTTCTGCCAACCATCCACGCTGCGCCAGGACTCTGCAGAGCTCATCTACCTGCCCTTGACCGATGGCACAGTCCGTCACCCTGCGTAGGAGACAGCAAGAGAGTTAAAGCATGGCTGGCGACCAGGCACAGCAGGCATCGGCAGAGCTGCCCGTCACCAGCTGTGTTCTTACACCAGTTTCCATGCAACATTCAGAGAGGTGAATGCCCTCAGCTGTGCCAGTGTTTGAGACTTCTAACACCCCCCTGAGGTTAGTAATGACAAACCCCACATTTTAAGAAGGAAACAGATCTTTTCACATTTTAAGAAGGAAACAGATCTTTTCACGTTTTTTGCCTTCTCCTTGGAGCCTAACTGGAGACACATTGCAAGTCTTCTTTACAGAGGCACCCAGTAACCATCAGTCCCAGAGAGGCTGCAGACATGTATCACACAGTCACACTGATGCTGAAATGGAGATTATCACCCAGAATTTGAGGCACACATTTGGAAAATGCAGTGGTTAGTGTTCTATTCAGCTGCTTGTGCAGAATTTGATGCCACTCAAGATGATCATAAGTAGTCCAGTGGCCACTAAAGAAAGGCACAGGCCTCTGCCATCCCAGTGCATCTCAAACGAGTTGCACTTAGGCAGCTGAATTGAGCCCCAAAGCCTCAGCTACTAGCCCAAACTCCTTGACTACCAGCAACTACTTCTTCATACAAGAAGAATGTGAGGGTGGTCAGACACTGGAACAGGTTGCCCAAGGAAGTTGTGGATGCCCCCTCCCTGGAAGTTTTCAAAGCCAGGTTGGATGAGGCTTTGAGCAACCTGGTCTAGTGGAAGGTGTCCCTGCTGCTGGCAGGGGGGTTGGAACTGGATGAGCTTTAAGGTCCCTTCCAACCCAAACCAGTCTGGGATTCTAAGAAGAGATTTGTTTACTTGCACTAGTGTTTCAAACCTAATCAAAATACGTGAATTACAATTGAGTGTTGTATGCCAGTACCTGCAGGATATCTTTTGGGTTTGCATGCTTGCTCCTAAATGCAAAAAAGCATTCTCACTTGACCTGAAGCAAAGACAAAAGACAGTCCTTCAGAATGCTCTTCAAAGATGACAAGCTTTGTAGTCTCTTTAAAGCTAAGCTGTTGGGTTCTAAACATTCTTACCGGACTTCTACCATTCTGATCCGCTCACAGAGGTTGATGGAGTTGATGAGTAAGACAGTACAACATGGGGAAAACGTGTTATTCCTAATACTGAAAAGGAAGGGAAAGAAAGAACAATGAAATGAGCTCCCAAGAAGAAAGGTTCTGATGCATACGGCCCAATTTCCCTATTTAGCTGGATCCACCTCATTTAACTCAAGATCAGTAAGCAAGGATCTAAAGTTTTCCAAGTTGGCTCCCAGCATCCCTTTAACTAAGGCAGAGTCTCTTTTAGTCTCCTTTGACTAAAAAGGGTGTACAGACCAAGGGTTTACACTGAACAACTCTTCAGGGCTGCTGGACTAGAGATACCTCAGACTGGAAGCAACCTCCCAAGTGAGCAAATTCAGTCTCTCAAGACACTGCATCTCCTCCATGCTGCAACATCTGGCAAAAGACGGCCAACCTCTTCTGGGCTTTTTGCCCACGTGGTGGGAGTGCCCTAGCCCCTGACAGCACCTCTCTAGCCTAAATTCCCAGCCTAAATGGCTGATATGATGCCAGGAAACACTTTGGAGTCAAGTGCAGCAGGATGCCAGATCCCTGCAAGAGCAGAGCTTTGAGATAATGGCCACACACATGGATGGTGTGCTATCACCATATGTCAACCAACAGTCCTATACCTGTTATGGATGCAGTCATGTTCCATGGGACCTGCTAAGTTAGGATTATCTGGGATGCTGTGCCTAGGGTGAGTATTTCTCCTCCTGTCCCTTTTTTCCCCCTCATTAAAGAAAAAAGGTGCAGTGGTGCTTTGGTTCTAGAAACAAGACAGGAATGGGTGTGAAAGAGTTTCTTGCATTTTGTTTGCCCAGCTTATTAATCTACAGTTACTGACTGATGCTCCTGAGATATGTTGTGGTATTAGCAGTTCCCAAACCAATGTTTCATGGCAGTAATCAAAGCAGGGACCTCAAACATTACCTCAGTAGTGTCAGATGACAGAGGTATGGCAGGAAGCTCAGTAATCTCTCAATGCTATGGTCATTCAATGAATTTCCAGACAGACTGTAAAACACGGAAGGAAACAAATTCCAAGAGAAACTGGGACAATCTGTAAGTATTTCTACAAAATCTACATGGACATGCACACACATATGTGCGTGGGGGTGTTACGGGCAAGTTCTGAAAAACGACATGTCCAGAAATACCCTGAAAGTTGGGTGAAATTTAGGCCTTATAGGCTGATCCCCATGTTTCTCTACAGCCTATAGCCCATTAACACCCCAGTTTTAAGAGTCTTCCTTTTCTATTGCTGTAAGTTTACAAAACGATGCTACTAACTTATTTCCTGAATGCAATACAGATATTATGTTATTTTTATTTATCATTACTCCGTTTCTGTTCTGAGCAGTACTCTTCTAATTTTCTTAGTGCCCAGCTCCTGTCTGGAGTGAGCAGCTCTTGTGGAGTTTGGTTTCTGGCTTAGTGGGCCAGGTGCTCTTGCTCTGGCTGTACTGCAAGCCAGTGTCTCAAGGAGTAGGTGACAATATTTGCGTACAGCCATATGACTGAGGAAGACTCTGAGAACATGTACGTGTTCTGGGGTGTCTACACACAGACACTGCAGACTTTGGAGAGGCCAGACTCTGAAGCAGTGGACGCCGTGGGTTCATCTGAGCATCTGGGTGAAGTTTTGTGGGGGTTTCTAAGAGGCTGTGGTGGGAGGAGAGCTGAATTACACCAGCTGCTAACCCAAACATCGACTCTGTATCTGTGGGTTGGGGAGACAGACAGACAGACAGGGTTGTCAAGTGTACAACACTTACTCAATTTCTGTCAGCTGGGGACACTGAGCCAGTATCTGGCACAGCCTGGTCACATCCTCTGGACCCACTCTGCAGTCCCTGAGACTGAAGCAAACAAAGCACTCAGAAGCTAAACACTTCCCATGACCATGGCAACACTCCCTTCATATCCCAGAGCCTCCTATCTTAGGGTGAGACCCATAGCAACCCTCTCACTTCCACTACATAAATTTTCCTACCCACAATCTAGGACTGAGAAGTCAAAATCTGTAACAACCAGAGGATTTACCAGCTATGAGCTGATTCAAGAGAGCCAGTCCACCAAAACACCACATTACTTTGGGTGTTGCCTCCCTAGAGTCACATCATTGGTACTTAAATTGTCTCTGAAGATTGGACAGCACCTTCCTCTGCTCTGCGCTGTCTCAGCCCTCCCAGAGCAAGGCTGGGAATAGTGCCTCCTAACTCCTTCTCCAAGAAGGAAATCCCAGAAACCTCCTTGGGTGACAAACTGGCAGGTCTCCATGGGACAAATATAGTAGCCAGACAGGTCTGTGTCTCATTATTTATGGGTAGAAGCTTCCCCTGCAAGAAAGCAAGACAAGCCCTACAAGCCTAGCCAAGCAAAAGATGCACTGATTAGTTTCACAGATATGCCTGTAGCAATGGACATCCCAAGTCTATCCCAAGAGGGTGTATTATTCACCCAGCCACCTCTGACATTCACCGTGTCCCTCCAATGGCCACAAAGCACAAATATGTTGGTCTAGGTTGATGCCAGCTGGCCCGATCTCTTTAAGGCTTTGACAAATTACACCAGCCAAGACCTCCTCTCTTGTAACCAAGTGCTATTTAGGGTCTGGTTTTCCTGACCAGTTTCAGCAGAGGAGAGGATGGAAGAGGGATATATTAGAGATGGACCTTTTCCAGAGGTGTCTCACATGGAATCAGTCATGATGGGATACAAGCAGAAGAAAGAAACATCTACTTTCCAAGAGAGCTGAGTCTGCCTCCGAAGGCAGGCAGGGCACAGGACAGGTCTCTGAGGAGACAGCTGGAGTCTGCTCCACACATTATGTTACAGAAACAGACCCCAGAGCCACACCTCCCTACACTCCTGGGTGACAACAGGAAGCTGGGGCTGCCATACCGAAAGCACCGTCCATTTGCTACATGCTTGGGATGTGCCAGGAAACTCCTTCCCCATCTGCTGGTATTTCTGGCCCTGGGGAGAGAACAGTTTACCCCATGAGTTGTGCAGATGTTACTGTCCCTGTGTAGCTGACTCTCCACGCTGCAGCTGGGGAGAGGGGTGAGATGGTGGCAGTGGCCTCACACTCCAGTCTGCCTCCCCTCTCCACCTGCCAGATCTAGGCTCATGTCGTGCCCAGAACAAAAAGGATCTTATCACCCCTCTTCCAGCGTCCAGAGAGCTCTGCATCCACTCAGCACTTTGGGCATTTGCTCTGCCCTGTCCCAGGAGAGAGATGACTGCAGCCCCAGTCAGCAGCTGGATACTGCCGTTGGCTCCATACCCTCAAGCCCATGTCAATCAATCAGCCATGAAACAGCTCATCCTGCTTCCATCACCCTCACTGGAGTCTGGAGCCAAATGGCTCTTTAATTGTCACATCCCAGGGACTCACACATCACCATCTATTTAAGATTTCATAAGGAGGAGTTTGAAAGGCTCAGACAGATGAGTGGGTATGATTTTACCTTATTCTTTCCCAAAAGGTTAGATGAACCATCTGCGTGTCTCCTATGCTGTAAGCAGAAAATAACATAATTAGGATGGAGTTTGAAGATTCATGCTCCTGTATCATCCCTCATAAACCACAGCTTGAGGTTTCAAATAGCAAAAAAATAGGATAAGTACTCCTGGTCCTACCTGAGGTTCATTGTTTTAATGTGTTCCAGTGTAGACAAGGACTGAGCTAAGAAAAACACAGAGTTCAGGGAGATGTGGTTGTCATTGAGCCTACAGGAAGAAGAGATGAAATCAGCTGCGCAATCAAAACTACTAGCAATTTACACTGTGTTATCCAATCACAGTGATCCTTGTCCAACATTCTCAGAGACTGCTTCTTTGCTACCTTCTGTCTGTGTTTCCAACTACGGTTCTGCAAACACAACTCACTCTGGTATTATTAAAATTCATCTCTCACTTTTAGAGTTCAGAGAATCACAGAATAACTGAGGCTGGAATGGACCTCTGGAGATAATCTAGTCCAACTCTCCTGCTCAGAGGAGGGTTAGACTAGAGCAGACTGTGTTTTGAGTATCTCTAAAGATGGAGAATCCACAATCTCTCTGGGTAACCTGTTCTAATAAATGACATGACCACCACACAAATTTCTTCTTACGGTGAAATGGTTCAAGACATCAATACAAGGCAAAACCAACTCTTTGCTGTAAGTGCAGTTGTGGCAGTACAAAACCCACACTAAGATCGTGCTCGAGTCTATTAGGTCTATCCAGTGTGACCATGGGCAGTGCCCTTGATGCTGGAACAAAAATCCAGATAAAGAACAGCAGTGTGTTTCATTGCACTGATGTGAAGAGAAGCTGCAGACTGTCAGTAGCTAGGACAGTCTTGGCTTGAGAATAGTTCAATTAATCAAACAGGAACAATAAATATATCTTTCAATAAAGCAGAACAGTGCTATACTCCTTAAGCCACAGTCCTGTACAGTGCAATTGCAATGGGAGTGCCAGGTAGAATATCGAGATAAACATAAGCCATCACTGGATTCAGACTCCACTGCTGAAGCTGGAGCTCCCCAGCATTTATCTTCCAAAGGCGCCCACCCTGGGGAGAGGAAGGACTGTTCTCCCTCCCAATGAGGAGCTGGGAGAGGAAAAATTCAGTGGCCTGCTAAAGATCTCAGTGTGTTTTATAAACCAGGTGCCACACCTGCACACAAAATCACCTTGCTCCTTCATGAAGGACTGAGTCCACAGCCTCATGGGCACTGATCTCAACCAAGCTTCAAGTGGAGTCAATCTGTTCTGGACTAGAGGTGGGGACAGACTAGAGAGCACACTGGATCTGGCCTCAAGGGACACAGAACATAACTTCACTTGAACCCCAAGAGCCCTTCCCAAACGTGGACTGTGCTTCCACAATCAATACTCCCATAAAAACCCATCCATGAGTAAGGAGAAACAGGAGCTACTCACTTGACAGAACATAACATTTTCAAATTCGGGAGGAACTGAAACAGCTGGAAAAGTCCCTCATCTTCCAGATAATTATTTGATAGGCTAGGATTTAAAGAAAGGTATTTAGTTTTCATAGAAAAAAACAAACAAACAAACAAAAAAACCAAGAGGCACAATCACCTCTTAGTAACGAGTTCTAAAGCAGAACACAGGCACCCTAATCCAAACAACACATGCACTGCTCCTCTCCACTGACAACTAAAGCCTACAGGGAATCTAGAGACTCGAATTAACCAACATAAGACAGCCAGAAACCCTAGTTCAGGGCTCATCCTCTTCTCATGTCCACCACATGACCCTTCTGGACTGATTGTGCTTTTTAATGCAGTTACCAGCAACCAGAAGTCCGCAGCTCTGAGAAATGATCAACCTTGACAGGTCCAACAGAGGAGCCACAGGTTAGTCCTGGAGAAGGATATGAGGCTCTGACATTAGAGCCTAAGGATTACAATGGGCTATGGCTCAGGTGAGATCCTGGGACATGATTGCTTAAGAAGAGCAAAGGCTAAAAATCTCTTCCACAGGCTGCCAGGCCTTAGGGCAGAGCCAGCCCTCAGGTGGTGGTACACAGACTACATGCCTGTGCTGGTCCTTGTTCTGTCCTCAAAACCTAGATGTGGGGGTGTGCATTGGCTAGGCTTTCTGTTAGGGCTGGGTCTGCTCACCTCTTGGTGTTAGCAAACAGGATGACTCCCCACACACAGAGCTAACAGGAAGAAGTGTTTTGGTGCTGAAGGTCTGCGGGAACTCAATCATGGACTCTGCTACACGATCAATATGATCAAGCAAGAGGCCATTTATTTGTTCTAATACAGTTATATTTATACCCCAAAACTAATGAAATCACCCACACCCGTTAACATGTTCTTGGCTCTTCACTCGCAGCACGAGCAGTTCACATGCCCCTAATTGGCTGATGGACTTTGTGTGCATCCCTTCCTGTTTGCTTGCCAGGGTGCATCTTTTGGATACATTTCAAGGTTCCTTTCCCATAACTTGTCCACGCAGGTGCTTCTCATATGTCCAGACATGTATCCCTCCAGTTCCCACAGTCCTCTCAGGGTATGCCAAGATACGTTCCCACACTCCCCACAAAGGTCCTTGCACACCATATGTGGGATCACCAGGAAAAACACAGGCTGCCACCCCGGTTTTAGGCAGGATTCTTCATACTCTGCAGCTTAATGGCCCAAAGACAAAAATGACAGGGCAAGGTTTTACAGCTTTTTTAATCCCTGAAGTCAGGTTAAGCGATCAAACAGCTCCTTTCTAGATTTAGATCCTGCATTCTCTGCCCTAAGAGAGCACTAGAACTGTGTGTCTCCTTGGCAAAGGATATTAGCCTGTGTAAAGGCTTGCCTTTCACAAGGCTACATCTGTCACATTCTCTGCACAACACCGCAGAACAAAAAAGTAGCATTTTCTCAATATCCCAAAGAACTTCAGATAAAGACCATAAGACTTAAGAAGAACTTACTCCAGCTCAGAGATGCTGCTACATTCCTTCAGGACTGTACACAGCTTCTCCAGGTCACTGGCTTGAAAAAGACTGTCTGTCAGTCTAGGGGAAAGAGAAATCAATACTCCAGGTTGGCAGGACTGCAAACAAGATTATGAACTTCACTCCTTCAGAAAACCAGAGAAAAATAAGGGATAATAATGAAATAAAAAATCCCCTTGAAATATCTTGGGTTTTGTTTTTGGTCTGCAACAACTGATAAACCGTACTTTTCTTGTCTGCAAATAGAGAATAAAGAGACAAAGTAAAGAGAACTTATGGCACAACAAAGAACCAGGTCCCTGAAGTCTTGGTTAGAAGGCTTCAGGCACTTCTTCATTCCTCACTGCACCCTATAAAACAGACAGGCATACTCTGTGCTGGAGTCAGAGCATGACCTGATGTGCATCTGAACACAGATCCAGCTTAAGATGCATCTCTCCGAATATCACCAGAGAACCCCCACACCACCACAAGCTCTGTCACGCCAGCTCCCCCAGCTCCCACATGGGAGCTGATGCAGTAGCTGCACAATCACCACATCAATTCTGTGAATGAGGAACACAACCCACAACCTATTTTGACTCCTGTAGAAGACCACAGACATTAACCACAGAGCTTCTAGTGCTGCAAGCTGGGACTGTGAACAGTGACAAACGACTGACTGAAGAGACCTTTACCAGCTCTCTTCTGATTCACCATTCAAACTTGGGGATGCAGATTATATCAACTATAGGATCCAGAGACAGGACATGCATGAAGTACTATGAAAATTCACCATGGTACCTTATTTTTTTGGGTGCAGTAGGTGTCTGGATTTCTTCTCCATATTGTTGGTCATCAGTAGAGAACACAGGCTCTTCCCTAGTAAGTGAGCACAAAACCAGAGAAGGATGAAACACTTATGCTTTAGAAATTTGGCAGGTCCCTGGGGCTACCCTGCCTCTAGCCCACACCCATACCTTGCCAATAGCAAGCTCCTCTTTCTTTCAGTGATTAACCACATACTTGAGCATGCAGGCAACCAGAGAGAAGGGGAAAAGACAGATTTCTCATCTAAGCTACAGTCTGATGGAGAATTCAGCTTTTGCCTAAACATGTTTTGTGAACATGTGTGTCCACATCTGTGTAAATGATTATTCATAAATAAGTGGAACATCCAAATCCTAAAATATCTGAGTTTGAAATGCCACCTGGTGCCTCAAAGGAGTCACACACAGATCATGTGTCTCTGGTTGTCACTCTCTTTCAAGCATAGTCACAACTGGGTTCCATCCTATGATAGCCCTGTGGTTCCTCCCTGGCTAAGAGGTGGGATGCAGGTGTACTGTGGGAAATGCTGTTTCATAGTGGGCTCAGTCCACGGAGAACAAAGGCATAAATAAATGAACCTACAGCTCCAGGAACAACAACAGACCACTTCTCAAACAAAACATTTGGGTTGAGCTGGTTTGACCCATCATGTTCTGAGGGGAAAAATAAAACTCCAAATTTATTTTGATTTAGGAGTACCATGATCCAGAATACATAGGGTACAGAACTGGATAGTTTTAAACATACAAGAATCTGTGAATCTTTTTGGAATCTGGTTTGGAGGTGTGGGGTTCACTTGTTTTTTTACTCTTCACTATTATCAGATAGCACAGCTGTCATTCAACAGCCTGCTTTGCTTAGGATTTGCCTAGAGGCATAAAACATAATCAAACACTACAGAAGGCAGCAGACAACATCCAAAGTGGCTAAGAAAACCAGAGGTTTTCTGGTTCTAGGTGAGGTGGGGCAAGAACTGCTGTGAGATGAAATGTTACCCTTGGTACCTAAACAGGATACAAGAACTAAACAACCTGCTGAGAAAACACGATTTGTGCACACACAATACCTAGGAGAAAGAGAAGCAGATGTTCTTTCTTCTGTAAACCTCAGGACTGCAGTCTGATGACAAAGGCTGTGCAGAAGAGAAGGAATCAATCAATGTCACATTTTGTTTATTTACATGACTTGTCGTTTTAAGAATGCTTGATTTTGCTGTTTAAAACTCTTTGGTGACACCAATCACTTAAAACACTCCCAAAGCAAGCAAAAAATAATCTCCATTAGTTTGAAATCCTGGTTGGATCAAACGATGCAATATCAGAAGACCCAATGTCTCCGAATCATTAGAGAAAGTGCAGATAAAATTGTTACACTTAAACTCTGGGGTGTTTCCAAGGGAAAGTAACAGGAAGAGAACTTCCAACTCCACTCCAGGAGATGTCACCAGTTCTCATCCTCCACAGAGACCCTCTCTCCAAAACATCCCAGGGCAGAGAGCAGGAAAGTCTCAAACTGCCCCCACACATGAAAGGGCACACAGTTCTGTGCCCTCTCAAATTCTGGTTGATGGGTCTGATAAAAGCAGCTTAGAGTAATGTATCACCAAGTGTAAGTGTTAATAATCATCTTTGGATATGTTCTTCACTCACCTCACTTCTGAGGTGACTCAACAAGAATCTCAGAACCTAACTCTCAGACTTGCATATTGGAATTAACCTCAGGAATAACTAAAGATCTACGTACCTGGCTTGTACCTCCACCATCTTCTGGCAGGTATTTACTGTCTTCAACAGACTGCAAATGCCATTAACAGAGAGGTGGTTTTGACTGAGACTAAGAAAGAGAAAAAAGGCAATGGTCTCTGAAATCACACAGGACTGTCCTCGTGGGAGTGGTCATCAGTGTGCTGCATGCTTGAACCCATTCAACTTCAGAAATGGCATGTAGAAAACACACAGCACCACTACTCCTGAGAAAGGGGTTTTAATGAAAGGGCACTTCAGATGCATTGAGACCAGTTCCCATGTGTGATGCTCTGAGCAAGTGACCAACTTTAGCCTCATCCTTACTCAAGAGTTGCTTCTGCAGTACTGGTCTGGGTGAGGCCTTTGCCCACTGGATCCCTGCTCAGCATCTCCGTACGGCCCTTGCCAGGCTGAAGAAAAGGTGGCAATTTGGTTTTTATACAAGGCAACACTTACTCCAGCTGCTTTGAAATCGATATCCAAGGGAGGTTTTCCAGCAGGCAATTGCAGCCTTCATCTCCAAGCTTGTTACCTGATAAACTGAGGCATTTTCCAATTAGTGGGGACTGTTTTAAACAGTATAAACAATAAAACCCTCAAAATCAGCTTGCTTTCCCCTTCCTACAGTTATTCTTTTGCCTGGGCTGTTCTGCCTGGACTTGTCCCAGATCAATCCCCCCTGATAATCTCTGCATGAAGCAACTTCAGACAGAGTTTTATCCCGAGGACAACATGATTCACGCTTTAGCCTGAAAAACATCTTACTTCAGAAAACGTAAGTGGGAGTACAAAAGAAGAAACCAAATGAATGAGTGTTTACTGTCCTCCTGGAAAGAAGAAAGGAAGGCAGAAAACACTGGATGACAAAGATCTCCAGATCCCAATTCAGATGGGAGCAAAAAAACTGGGGTGAGATGTAGCTAAAATCAAGATACAGTCTGGACTGAACTGCCTTGCAACAGGTATTCCTGCATTTTCCAGGGCAGACAGGCTAAGAGAGCTTTACAGCCAAATCCAGGTGGCCTCCATGCAATGTGCAGGTTGATGAAGTGGATTTCTTGCCTTCCTCCGCTCACTTCTCCCAACGGAGCTGGATGGCTTTAGAAGACAAAAAGGACAACACAGAAGCAGAGGATTTCCTGGGGGAGCAGTGCCCCTGGGACAGTTCCATGCTCTGTAACTCCCATCTCCAGCTACAGCCAGAGGAAGGCTGCAGTTGCCACAGGAACACATGGTTGTTCAGCATCCATCTCC